ATATGAAAGTAAAGAATATTTTTACTTTTAAAGAATTAAATAAGAAATAACTTCCGAGAAAAATTTTTATTATTTATAATTTTTCATTTTAAATTTATTATTTCTAAAATTTCAATATTATGAGATTTTAAAGTTTTCAAAAAATATTCTTAATTAGGAAATGAAAAATCATTTCAAATATAAAATTTCAAAAATTTTGAATATATAAATATAATATATAGAAAATATTAAAGAAAATTCTTATTGAAAAGATTAAATTCGAATAAATCAAATCCTTATCATTTAATTAATTTAATATGATTATATTAATTAATATTTCTTTAATTTTCTTTTCTATAAAATAATTGAAATATTATAATCCTTATTTTTCTTCCTTTTCAATTTTTATATAAAGAATCTCTCTAAATTTCTATAGAATTTTTTGGGCACGTTTTCTTCTAAATTTCGCACGATTCCCGAAATTATGAATTGCACAAATATCATCGATAATATTCGAAAGATTTCGATATAGCTCAAGAATTTCAATAGATTTATTTATAGATTCATATTTATAAGAAGAATTCTATTAAAAAAAATATATATCTTATATTTCAAAAAGAAATATCATATAATTTTCTGATATTGATAAAATTATAGAAAAATATACCGATTCTTGAATCAGAACCCCGAACCTCGAACCTCGACTTCCGAACCTCGAATTCGAATCCCGAAACCTGAACCCCCAACCCCGAACCCCGAGTCCCAAATCCCGAACTCTAACCTGAATTTTCAATCCCGACCCGGAACCTTGAATCCTGATCCCTTAATCGGCCTTTGAACCTCGAACTCCGAACCTCCAACCCCAAACCCGGACTCCGACCCCGAACCCCAAAACCCCGAACCTGAACCCCGAACCCCGAACCCCGAACGCCGAATCCCGAACCCTGAATCCCGAACCCCGAATCCCGAATCCCGCACCCCGAACTCCGACTTCCGAACTCTCTGAACCTGAAACCTTGGATCCTGACCCCGAACCTCGAACCGCGAACTCCGAAGAACTGGGTTCGGGGTTCGAGTTCGAAATAAATTCGGGGCTCGGAATTTGGAGGTTGGCGGTTCAAGATTCGAGGTTCGGAGGCTCGAAATTCGAAGAAGTGAGCTCCGAACCTCGAACCCCCAACAACTTGACCGCTCAAAGCTGCTACCATCTCCAGCATTATGACGAGCCTGAGATCTGGTGAGTCCAGTAAATACGCAACTGAAGCGACCAACCTAGAAGGTCAGGCTGCTGCTCAACGAGGCATTGTTGGGTCGGTTTAATAGCCTTCCCGAGGCACCGTAGCCCAAAAAACCCTGTAAATAGGAACTCGACGTCCATGATAATTGATGATGATGATAATGGAGATGATATTGATAATAAAGATTGCATCCGAATCGGGATCGCCCAGAATGACGATATCTTGCCCCCCTGTCATAAGGATAACGTAACTTCGAATTGCTATTCAACATAGCCTGCTTCCGAAACCGAAAAACCTAAGCCTCAGGTCGTTGTTAGGACTTCGTCGCACGCAAAGACTTGAAGTAAACCTTGGAAGCACTCTCTATCCTTTCTCTAAATTTTCTAGAAAATTAGGATATATAAGTTTTCAAGAAATTTAGAGAATGGATTTCTGAAATGTCTCAATAATTTTGAAGCCGATTAGGAAAGCAAGCCCGAGATTATAAGGAGTTGCATTTCGAATCCTTGTCTTTTTATGCGATTTAGAGGAGCGCCGCATCTATAATCTCCCTAGAAATCTATAGAAATCCTTACCCGAAAAAAATTGTATTATAACGTTTTATTTTATAGAATAGACTTTTCATATAATAGAAAAATCATGATAATTCTTATATAGTATAGGATTTAATTAATTTTTCGGAAAGGCCTTGAAAAAATGAATCTCAGAAAAAGATATTATATATTTAAATCGATCTTCGTTATAGTAGCAGTACAAAATAGCTATATTAAGTTTATATAGTCTTATTAATTATTTATTATCATAAAGAAAATTTAAAAATACGAATATTATATCAAATATCTATTAATAATATAATATCGATTTTATTACTATTACAAACTTTTATAATATAATATTTTTTATTCTCTCAAGCTATTTATATATAGAAGTATTAAATTTTAAATTTTATCATGCAGAATTATAAATTAAATATAAATAATATAATCAACCTTATAATATGAAGAGTCAAATTATATAATTACCGGATCTTAAAAAAATCAAAAAATTGAAACCTAGTCTTTATTCAAAAATAAAATATATAATCATTTTCAAAATCATTATCAATATATTGTATAATAATATATCTATTCTAATAAAAATGATACCAATTTTTCCAGAAAAGAAATAAAATAAGCTTCAAGTAAGAATCTAGATATCAATATAATATATTTAAATCAAATTCATTTAATCTAATTTTTATATTTAATCTTTGTAGAACGGTATATATTTTATATTCTCCCGGAGTGGATATTCCATTTAATCCAATATATAAGTTATTGGAAGGTTCGTCAAGATTTATATCTGAAATTGAAAATTTCAGTTAGTCTTGCAATTGCCGGGATGACCAAAGTCCAGATCGTGGGCGTTGATCATCTTCTCTTTTTTATAGCTGGTCAATAGAGCCCGGAACTCCTTCACAGCAGT